TTTTCCCCTTCGTTTTTTTTTTTTTTTTTTTTTCATCCGATTCATTCGATTTTCCGTTGCGTTCGCTATGAAATGTCGCGTTCCGTGGGATCGACATCCAGTTGATTGAAACTGTTCTTCCTTTACATTTTTTAAATTGGGAAAGCTTGTTGAGTATATATATTTGTTATTGAATTAGAAAATTTTTAACGCAAATTGTTTCGTTTCTTTTACTTTATCTTTTCTTGTCTAATTGAATTGGAAACTATGTTTTTCCTTCTCTTTTCTTTTCAAAGTGAATTTAAGTGGATTACGACGTCGTTTGGATTTTGAAGACGATGGTACGTGATTTCGCACGGTGGATCTTATTTCGGTTTTAATAGACAGAGCTTCTCTGGCCGCGGTTATTCGCTGTTTTATTTACGGAAGGGGATACTCCTTCTGAGTTGAGAGCACGAGCACTTTGCGAGCCCGTGAACTGCAGTGACTCGCTTGTGTATATGTATATACATATGGAAATGTGTGTGTGTGTGTGTACCTATCTTCTTATTCTGGTTGATTAAAAATGCTCCGGTAAAGCTTGATGAATTTCCATCGCGCGCGAAAGCTGCCTCGTCTCGCGTTCTGAAAACGCCGACTTCATCCGTGGGATGTTCATTAAATTTGCATTATCCTCCTAGAACAATTTCTTTTCAAGTTGCAGCTCTGCTATTTCCTAACCATATATCAATTATACATGTACCTATTCCCCGAACAATTTCCTTTTATTCTACGTTAAAATTGTACTTTTCCTTACAACTTACAAGCAACATAGAAATATTTAAAAAAGCCAAATGCCACAATAAATTAAAAGAGGGAAATTCTTCGTACGTACATTGCACTTTATAAAATATTCATCTTTTGAGGGGATATTGGTACACATGTAGATATACAGAGTTCCTCTTTCAAAAGATACAAAGGGAGTTTACGTTATTGTTAAATATTTTCTAATATTATCTCGTTTAATATTTTTAAGTATAATTGAAGAAATTAAAAATAATTAACTTCTTCCGGTATTAAGCAACAAATTTATTAAAAAGTTAATTACTTCCCTATCTTGAGATGCAGTAAATATAGCGAATATTCTTCCACGGATCGTACATATTAGGGGCGTTCAAGCCGAAAATTAAACTTGGACTATTTTCATTTGTAATTCTGTAACGTTGCAATTACATCGTTTCTTGCTTTGTGATCGCTCCGAAAAAACCTTCGGCCAACCGGCGGATCACGTGCACGCGATTTTCTCTATTTACTTATTATAGTTCCCGTTTTATTCTTATCTTTCTATTCCATTTTTCTTCTCTCTCTTTTTTTTCCCGTTAGAAATTACAATACCGAAATTACACGTATTTTCTTATGGAAGCTGCACGCATGAAATTCATGGGAATCGCGCTGCGTAAATCACAACGATAAGTCTGGCCGAATCACCGAGTCAATTAATTCCTGTGAAATCCACCGAGCCACGAGTTAGCATGTCCACTTGTGCGTGCACTTTCTAAAGCGGCAAGAATGCAATTTCTACATGTCTACACATATGTACTGTACGTACACTATTGCTCATAAGCATCCGGACGCATCGATCGATTTGTAATAACAGTATGTAAATTTTATCGAAGCGTACGAGTAATAACTCCATAATGATGAATTAGGTATTTGAGGCAACGCTTACTATTATATTTTCTTATGGAATCGCCAGGTTATAAATATAGATTAGTTATTAAAAAACATAGCAATAATAAATTTCAGCATTTATTATATATATGTATTAATACATTTGTTAAAAATGTCTCCAGTTCTATTAACATGGGAAGTGCTTCTATTAATTAATTTAGAAGACCCTCCTTAATCCATTTTATAATTCAAAAGTCAAAGAACGTGGAGATAAAGAATCTGTCAAATAACGAACAGCTTCTATAAGACATGACAACTACAAGCGTCAGTTTTATTGTTACGTGACTTTCAAAAATCAATTTAATCAAGTTATAATGTATTATTATACGTAGCTATAGCAATTACGGAGGATAAAATCATTGCAGTTTGATTTGACCGTAATTTTCTAATTAAGATACACCTTGTCGAGAATAAACGAGTGTTCGAATACCTTTGAGCTGTAGCGTATGTACAGTGTTTTCCTCAAATCCGCCACGGCGTTTCGAGTGAGAGAATATTCTTTAACACGATGTTTCACGTACTTACGTCTCCCTGCGCGAGGATGTGCTCCGAGTATTAATTATTCCCGCTTTCTTTGCATTCCTCCCTCGCCATGGCTTACGTGCGTCTTTTGTTAAGGCTGTACTTGCTCGCTGGAATCGATGCTGTTCAATAGCGAATGTAATCTTCCACCGAGGCTGTTCGAAATTGCGACTGATTCTACGTGTTGGGAATCGAGAGAACCGTGTTCGTGGCGCGATGTTATTAGAGCTTGTTAACGGTCTTTTAAGTTCGCATGTGTTCCATCTTCTGGACAGGGACTTCGTAAGGTTGCCTTGAGAATATCAATATACAGGGTGTATCATAACGTATGGGAGTCACTTTAGGAATGAACAAAAGGCACGAAAACAATGAAAATGAACACGTGTCCTATCTGATCTTGTTCCAAAATTATAACCATCTTTGTGTTTCAATAATCTGCAGCTGTTTACCTTTTTAAAAAATGCTCGAAATGGTTACCCTCGATCTGTATACAAACTCACAGTGGTCGTGTTAAGGAATCTCGCAAAAATTCCAGGTGTATATCGAATAATACAGATCGAGAGTAATCATTTGGGACACCTTCTATGTTCCGGATTACTGAAACATAAAAATAGCTGTAAATTTGAAACAAGGATAGGTAGAACACCTGTTTGTTTGAATTTTTACCATTGTCTTTTCGTTTCCTGTCCACTCCTGAAATAGACCCCATATGTTACGATACAACTTGTATATTGCCAATATTTCAATGTTCTCAACTAAAAGGGATCAATTTGTACTGGTAATACAATATTATCAATATCTATTGATAAACTACATTTTCGTTGGGAATCTTGAAATATTGACAATATTACCTAACATTTTGGGCACGTTGAATTTTCTCCCTTTTAATCTTAAATCTTCTTCGATTTGATTAATACTTTTATGATTTATGATTTATATATAGCTAGTAATCCTGACTATTCACTTGATTTTAGTTAAATCAATATATATTTGGAACGAGTTAAATTATAATTAGTAAGCTGTGGATGTTCGTGCATATCCGACAAACGTAAATAACGAAAACTGTACGAGGTTTCGCATAGATCAAAGATCAAAACGAAACGATTTTGTTAGATATTTTAGTCGCACCGCGCGACGCAAAGCTCGGAAATGGAGGTACCACAGAAGCGTGTGCAGCAATGATTGTTTAAATGGGAAACAATTACTACTCTCATTGGGGAGGGATTTCGATCCAGTAGAAATTCAGCTTTGGTATTTATGATACTCACATCTAGAATTACAATGTGTGCTTTTAGAGGCACGGAAACGCGTTTTGGAGCAATGAAACCGACTATGGCTGCAATTTTCAAGTAATTACTCGAACGAGTAATGAGAATCGATACTTCGAACCTGTTATAAAGTTTCGCGCCAGTCTTCCATCATTTTATATTTTATTACGCGAGAATATTGTATATTTAATCAATATTGACACGTAAAACAAGATCGAAGCTCGTTACTATTGTCATAACAAACCATACTGTTCTCATTTTGGACATTTCATTCTTATTGTTCTTGATATTTGTTTAATTTCATTATTTGTCCATTAGGTAACGTTTCATAAACAACATTTCACTGGTCGTGACGAACTATTCAATGAATGCATACTTGCCTGATTATATTCAGCAGCCAGTTTCCTGCAGTTTGAGCTGCACAAATAATCGTAATCGGTATTTGTCACTGGGCAGAGACATTAGTAATCGTTTTACTGTCTCGTTTATGTTAATTTTTGCTAACCCATAACGACTCTGCGTTTGTTTTCATCGTTTTGCATTTCTCTGTTCCAACTCTGTTACAAACGAGTGAAATGACGCTCTGTTAATCCTCTTGTATTCGTGGATAAGATATCTTGTGATGCAATGTTGTTTATGCGATGCTCTGAACCAGATATTTCGCGTTTTCTTTTACAACAAAACGCAAGATATCTCGTTCGTGGATCTTTGTAAGAAATAGTTTGAGACGTCTCATTTATTGGCGTGGCAGAGTTAAGAACACTAACCGTAAGTTCTATTATACTTTCAACCCTAAGCAAACATAGTTTTCCATTCATCCCAGGCAAACTAGGTCGTCCATGTCCAAGCCTAATTTTTTTTACTATTCCACGCTTAAAAAAAATTTTAAACAGATCTGGGATGTCCCACGATGCTTCTATTATATTATCCAAGCATACTTTTAAATCAAATGTTTGAGACCCTTTTCGATAAAAGTAAAAATTTACGAATACCAGCTTTTTTTTATCTCTTGGCCCACATTCTATTGTGTTTTACG